TACCTTCAAACTTCATTTTAACTTTGACAAAAAAATAAAATAAAACATGCTTCATAAAATAGATAATAAAAGGAAGTATAAATAAGCAATGTGGATATTACTAATCAAAATATTAGTTACCTCATAAAAGCTTAAATATTCACAAGTATCATATAAAATTCATTTCTATCTTTGTCCCATTTTTTTAGATTGTGACTTGGTAAAGATCAATTAAATGCTTTGAAGCATACGGTAAGAATAAGATAAGAAGCATATTGTGCAACCTTTTCCTCTTTGATGTTACACTGATAATAAGTAATTTCACGTTGATCAAATTTTCATCGACATACTGATTAATTTCATATTGATAACAAGGAACATGTGCTATAGAGGTTGAGGCAAATTCTCTCCCTTTGTTTGTTTCATATTATTGTGGCCCCACCTTTAGGGATACAATATGAAATTATAGTGATAACCTCTATGGCATTGGTAGTTAATTTTACCATGACTATACCCACGACCATGGACACCGTGAAATGAGCAGATTTCTCTTTAGAAATCGTTTTCGATCTAGTGATACTGGTAATATCTCAATAAAAGCTCATTATTTTACTCTATCACAATGATATCAGCTTTACATAAATCCATGCATTCAACGTGATTAGTGGAGTATCTCTTTGTCAATATATGACTTTCAGTAATATTTACTCCACATCAAGTATTTCATAAATCTACGCCCTGGCGTGATAAGTGGATGCTATATTCTTTTTAACATATACTCATGAGTAATTATTTCTCCACATTATCTCAATATAGTTGATTATCAACAAGGCCGAATTATATTCGCCAATAATTTCATAATCGTGCAACCACAGTTGTATCCATTCTTACTGAGCTTTTTAGAAAGATCACAATACTCTGTGATTTTTATCATAAGATAAGTGGGTCTTATACCGTGAGATATTCAATTTTCAAGTTATCATGAATCATTATTTTTGTGTAGTCCTACAAGGACTCTTGATTTCTCAATTTATTTGTAATCTCAATATCATAAAATGTATCTCAAAAAATAATTATGCCCACAATATTATCAAGCCTTTGTCATGTAACAAAACATTTTCTAAATTTGAATGAATCATAAAAAAACACTCAATAAATTATTAAACAAAATGTGGTAAAACCTTACCTGAATTAATGAAATAGTAATGATAGTAAAATCGGTCATAAAGCAAAAAGACAGTAAAAACCAACCTTATTGATTATGTACGCAAATAGTATATATATATATGCTTAGTTGATTATTATATTATATAAGTAATCTGTTAATAATGAAAATGTTATAATCGATCAAACAATATATGATTCATTAGGGACTAAAATATTATTCATTAAAGATCAATATATAAACGAATTGTTTTAGTAAACACCATTTGCAATATACACATATTGATCTATATATATAAATATATATGATAAGGTGGGTCTTTATGTTAGCCACTTAGATTACTTTATTTATCACATATGAAACGTATACATATATAATTCATGCCCAGTAATAATAACTCTACTTATACATGCCTCATACAATTATATGGATAGTGCACTAAACATATTAATAGGGAGTGAATCCCATATATATCTATAACAACTATAACATAAAGTTGGATTTAATTTATTTTCGTGGGAAAGAAAAATGGGATTTAAATTCGAAAGTTTAATTTGTCCATTCTGGGAGATAGGACTACAATGGTTTGGGTCATTAATGACATATTACTTTTGTCACCATCACCAATCAGACAAGGCTACTAAATTCATGAACAACCTAGTTGCTCTTTTAACTCTTCTTGACCAATCACTCCATTTATTTGTCTTTCTCTCAACTATACATATACAACCCCTCATAACAATATAATAATATATACATATATCTGTGTGTGAGAATAAGAATTGACTCAATATCAACAAATCCTTCAAATTATGAAAATTTGGTGAATCCAATATGTAAAGATAAAAGCTCTATGATTGATATATTTTATCTTAATATATACTATCAATTTTCGTTATTAATGAGAAGTAATTAATACCTGATGGAGTAATAGTAGTCCATGTTGAAGAAGTTTCATGATCAACCATGGCACAAAGAAAACATATAGAATAAATAGAATAAGGGCAGTTAAAATTTAAACCAGTAGTACTACATATTATTGATATATTTGATCTTAATATGTGAAGATACCAAAGGTGGTAAAACCATATATATAATAAATAGAATAAGGGCAGTTAAAACATAAACCAGCAGTATCGCATATAAGTAATAAATATAATAATGGCGGTTAACTCATAAACCAGCCTAAATTGTTAAACAATAAACAATAAAGGTAGTAGAACCTACCCTTATAAATATACACATATCTCATTTAAATATTGAATGATATTAATATAAGAAGTGCTTACCTTTTGAAGTGAGAAATAAATTTGTTTTGGCAAAACAAACAAACAAACCCAACAATCTATCAAAACCAATATCACAAGTAAGATATATGAGTTGAGATAGAGAGAGAGTGTGAGAGCTTCTCTTTCAAGTCTCAGTTGGTTAGAGACTCGTGCTGATAACGTGTTGTGAATCTAAAAGAAAATATAGGACATAAAATTATATCTTCAATATAGAGAGAAGAATGTCGAGACGAGAGAGAGATCTTATTACTTTCTATTAAATCCAGGTACCTCAATGTAACAATAAACAATCCGTATTTATACCCAAACATTGCATTAGTTAACATCCACCATTAACTCTCATCCTTAATGCACCATTAACCAAGTAAATTTACCTCTTATTTATTGCACCATAAATTCAACACTATACAAGTAGTGGACACCATATATATAACAACTAAATGGTTTCACTCCACTTATTGGTATTGTTGAAGCGCATTCATTTTTAGATATTTGTCTTTTCAACTTTACCTTAAATTGAAATATATGACTCCAATCAATTGCACATTAATTAATGTTGTTTTATGTTAAAGGTAACCAAAATCAGAAGACAACCTGTACTTTAATATTTATATACATGCCCTCAAGAATTTCTCAAGACTTAATTCTCACCCTTTTTTTATTTTTATTTTTTATTTTTTTAGTTGGGACTCACAAAGACTGCCTCTACTGAGGTTTGAACTCCTGACTTTCCTTTAAAAAGTAAGAGTCTTATATCGTTAGGCCAAAGGCCTGTTGGTTCAATTCTCACCTTTGAACATTTCTTCGTGCATGTGATGTAACTTTGCAACAGACGCATAATATTTTTTTCTCAATAAATGGGGTGTGGTTATTGAGGTGTGATCCGAGCGATTAATTCAGAAGACTCGTGCAATGTTGCAAAAATAAGTTTATATATATATATATATAAGCCAAACACACACGCACCAAGAATACATACATTTTTATTTGGTTCACCCAAAAGTAGAAATACGTCCAAGAGTTGTAGGAATTTCAAGGTAAAAAATGGTCTGAATACAGAGATTTCAGAATGAATAAATACCCTCATATTAGGGCAACATAAAAAGTACAAAAATTATTGAAATATCCTTCAAATAATTCAGGGCTGTTTTAAACCCCCAAACTCCCACCTTTGGGCCCCTGCAATCTCCCGCCAACTTACCGTGTAGTTGGATTCCTGTAGTTGAGTCTTAGTGTACAATACTCGTATTTATCAGGCTCCACACTATCCATTATATGCATGCAAGACCTCTTTTCCGCACGAATCGGATAAAACTTGGATATATCCGCGATCTTTAAAAAATTATTTGCACCCAAGAAAAGTTACATAATAATTTATCTTTTGGTGTTCATTTAGACTTTCTCCGAGAGGGTGGCATTTTCTAACGCTCTAAGTGTGGAGACATTCTTAACTGTCATATATTATAATTTATAAAAGCTTAAATTTAGTATAATTTGATATTTCTATTATTTAACATGCCCATTTGAATAAACTTTGATTTAATTTTAATAATTAAAGTAACAGTGAGATTTTTACTCTCCATGGACGGGAGCTAGAAATTTGATTAAGGGGGCACATTAAAGTAAAATTCTATAGTAAAAGAAAAGATATGAGAAAACTTTGAAAGGAAAAAAAAAAAAAAAAAAGATTTAATTGATTAAAGAAAGGAATGCAATATTTTTAATAAAAAAATGAAGAAAAAGAGTAAGAATGGGGGGAAAAAAAATTAAAAAGAATTTTTGAAAAAAATAATAAATTTAGGGACTCATTTCATAAAATTAATAATCCATGTTAATTAAATACACCATCCACCAATATTTATTTTCTCTAACAAACACATTTTCATTGAAAAAGCTAATTTATGATATGGTTGTTAATTAAATAGAATGTGAATCTCTTCAAACTTAGATAAAAAAAAAGTGTTTGGCAGCTTCAGCTAGCCTTCTTCAATGCCATGAAAGGAATCAGAGGGTAGTTGCTCAAAACTCCAGACCCGAGATTCATCTTGAAGAGGGTATTCTTTTTGCAAGTATGTAGCTTAATTTGTTCAATTATTTAATCATTTGAGACAATTATCATCCAACAGATTCTTGTAAACATATATATAGGAACAAAGTATATGTCAATGTCAAAGCATCACACACCTTCGGTTGGCGGACAATTATTGGTTCGTAGACTCGTGGTGTATATATTTTTTTTTGTTTGTTTGTTTGTTTTATATATATATGTCACAATATTTTATTATAACATTTTAAAAATAATCTGTACAAATATGGTGAAATTTTTGAGAATACAAAACTGCCGTAATTCCACATTAAATGACAGCTACCTGAGTAAGTTAGTAACCCATCTCTCTCTATATATATGACTCACCACCATGACTCTTCCATTCCCACCAAAACCAAGAGTTTTATAGCTAGAGCTGGCTAGGAGAAAAAAGAAAATGAAGAAGCAAGCTTTTTCAAGTGTGCCTATTTTCATTTTCTTTTTTCTTGTTTTTACCATATTTTCGAACGTCGAAGCTCAGACTTGCAGGCCTAGTGCCAAGATAAGGGGTAGAAAACCACCTCCAAAGGCGTGCAACAAGGACAATGACTCCGAGTGCTGTGTGGAGGGCAAGCTTTATACTACGTACAAGTGTTCGCCCAAAGTGTCGAGCCACACAAAGGCAGTCCTCACGATCAATAGTTTTGAGGAAGGTGGTGATGGTGGTGGAGAATCCGAATGTAACGGTAAGTTCCATTCGGATGACGAATCGGTGGTGGCGCTGTCAACCGGATGGTTTAACCACCAAAAGAGGTGCTCAAAGAACATTATCATCCATGGTAATGGAAGGAGTGTGAAGGCCAAGGTGGTGGACGAGTGCGACTCAACAACCGGTTGCGACGCGGACCATGATTACCAGCCTCCATGTCCAAATGACATTGTTGATGCCTCTAAAGCTGTTTGGAAGGCGTTGGGAGTGCCACAAAATGAGTGGGGCCAGCTAGACGTTTACTGGTCTGATGCTTGATTTGCATGATGGTATATATATACATGTACGAGGGACTTGGATGCTCTTTCATCAATGTCACGCGAGTGAGACACGACTGAAAATAAGTGTTAGTTTTTAAAGAGCTTTATAATGACGAAAGGGTGCCATTTGCAAAAGAGTATTGCTAGGTTGCCAATTCGGTTGTATTGCCCACTCCAATCAATAAAAATTCTTACGTAATAATCAATAAGATAGAGACCCTTTCTCTAAAACGGTTTCAATCGATATATGTTTATTTCAAAAATGGAATAATTCCATTAATTTCCAACTAAAATGAAAGTTAATGGGAGTTTCACACGGGTATTGTTGACGGATTAAATGCTATACTCAAAAATCATTTAGAATGTCATGCAAACACAAGTGTGGGTTCTATACAAATCCAACCCATGGCAGGAGTTCTTTAACATATATAAATTGAAATTCAGCAGGATACGTACTCACTTGGAAGCTCACGTTAATTAGCAAGTTATGCATACCATGTTTGCAGAGATATGAACAATAGAATTTCTCGAAATCAATGCTTGCCTCCATTACAGATTATGAATGAGGTAGTCAACTCGGTCAGATTGAGGCTCTTCTCAATCAAGAAATGCTCTTGTCCACACACACAGGGAATTGCTAGGGACTAGAATCTTCCAAGCTCATTTTACAAACCAGACCACACAAACCCCTTCTTCTCCATCCCATCATATACAAATCTCATCACCACAACAGGCCATAATGAACCATACCACACCACCACTTCCCAGTGACTGTGAATGAACTTGTTGATGTTCCCGCCCACGACTATGGGTGGGTTAAGGTTGGTCACATTTGGGATATTTGGGCTTCATGTCATGTCTATGTTTTTGTTTTTGGGCATCAATGGGTTGACGCGTTGTCAGCTTTTGGTTCTTTCTGATATGGGCTGTTTGGTACTGTTCATTGGGGCATGCCCCAACTTTACTTTTATATTCTTACCCCTTCTATATAATTCTCATTTATTTACCGAAAGAAAAAAAAAGTAAATAGCTAGTAAAAATTACATATAAAGAGAAACAAGTTTAAGCCCACTTGCAGAAAACAAACTCTTATTTTAATCACCACCATAAGCATTACCTAAGTCTCTTGTTCATTGATTTAATTTTTTGAGTCGATTATCCAACAAATTCCTGTAAAACATATAGGAACATAGTATATCAATGCCATGGGATCACAGGGACTACAATTGTATCGTAGACTCTTAGGTGTATTTCTTGTTTGTTTTTGTTTTGTAGCCATTAATTATGTCAAAATGAATCTTTGGTCCCACATGAATCTTATGGAGTAATACAAAAGCAGCAATCAATCACAAAGGGAAATTATCATCTCGATGTCTTAGCTTAAAGGCCACATAACCTTTGCACTCTTTCAAATAAGTGAAAACATTAAGGTTTTGTTTGTTTCGATCATGCACGGATATATTGTGTGTTAATATATATATATTTATAAAATTATATCTTAATATTTTGAAAATTTTGATATATATTTATAAAATTATACTATTGCTCTTCCTCAAATTAGTAAAAAATTTTACATTGCCACCCTAACTTATGTTTCTGGATCCGTCCCTGATATCGACGTTACATATTTTCTTGAAAAAATATTTTCTTTTTCAAGTAAAATATATATTTTTATATTTTGGTATTTGACAAAGATCTAAGTCGAGGTTGAAGTCGAGTCCATCAGGCGAGACTTGTAAAATAATTTGCCAAAAATTGATGAAAAGGTTATTTTTGTTAGAATTTAATATATTTTTTCTTAGTAAATACGACAACCAAATGTCAAAAAAAGAAAATATATTTTTTTAAAAATATTTTACATCCAAACAAGCGGAACTTAAAATCAGTTATACAAACTCTTCAAGGAGTTTCAACCCGCCCTTGTGTTGCAGAGAAGTTTCCTAGCTCAAGGAAGCATTGGAGGCATTAAAATCAGTTATGCTGGACACAAATGGGAATCAGGATCACCTCTTGAGATCATGCGTCCGGTCCGGTCCCATACAACTTATGCAACACAATATATACATCACTTCGACTTCCCCTTTTGGGAGGTGGGTTTATATCAGTTAGAATATTGCCCATTTAGTAACTTACATGCAGATTGATGAATAACACTACATTAATCACTAACTTGGATAGGACGCAATTCTTTCTTTGTAATCTCCAACAAAGACACATTAATATATCAAACAACACAAAACCAAGGCTAGAATGTAGTGGATAAAATAATCAACATTTCCTTATATGTCACTAATTTAAATTTTTAATTGTCTTATTATATGTTACATTACTTATCTCTATGTTAATAGATTCCATATCTCTATGTTAATAGATTCCAGTTGTTCTTTTCCAAGTGATACTTTTAACCTCACACATAATCTGTACAAATGGTGAAATTCCTCAGAAAACACAATAAAAAACTGCCATAATTATACATTAATTGACAGCTGTTTGAGTAGCCCATCACTTTCTATATATAGGTCACCACGTACGTACTAAACTGTTTCATTCCCACCAAAACCAAAAGTTAGCTAGGAGGAAAAATGAAGAAGCAAGCTAGTTCATATGTGCGCATTCTCATTTTCTCTCTTCTTCTTTTTACCATTTTTGTGAACGTTGAAGCTCAGAATTGCAAGCCTAGTGGGAAGATAAAGGGCAAAAGAGCACCTCAAAAGGCATGCAACACGGAGAATGACTCCGAGTGTTGTGTGGAGGGCAAGCTTTGTTCGCCCAAAGTGTCAAGCCACACAAAGGCAGTTCTCACGATCAATAGTTTTCAGAAAGGTGGCGACGGTAAGTTCCATTCGGATGACGAACAGGTGGTGGCACTGTCAACGCGCGGGATGGTTTAACAAGAAAAAGAGGTGCTTGAAAAACATTATCATGCATGGTAATGGAAAGAGTGTGAAGGCCAAGGTGGTGGACGAGTGCCACTCCACAATGGGTTGCGATCGAGACCATGATTACCAGCCTCCATGTCCAAACAACATTGTTGATGCCTCTAAAGCTGTTTGGAAGGCATTGGGAGTGCCAAAAAATGACTGGCGCGAGCTTAGACATATTTTGGTCGGATGCTTAGCTTCAGAAAGTATACAATACTCAGAACACGTGGTACTCTCGGCAACTAATGAATGATCATGAAAATTTTCAATTTACTTTCATAAACAAAAAATTGAGAGTTTTTAAGAAAAAAAACATGATTATGCATTGATTAGGAGTACCACATAGTGAATACACTTGGGTATAATATATTTTCTGGCTTAGCTAAGTTTGCATAAGAGGAATGATATAGGCCGGATTCTGAAGGCCTTTTTGAATTTGGTCATTTTATCATTTTCCTTTATGCAAAAATAAGTATTTGTAGGACTTGAATGTTCCTCGAGCCATTTTTATTTGACTATTTATTGGACGATGTCACGCCACTACTGGGTGTTGCGTATCGTTTAATAATTTTCTTTTTTCTTTTAAAATTATCCTAGTCTGTGCATATATAATATCAGGTGGGATTTTTCATGTTGTGAAAAATAATGGAACTGTTGTAATTAATGTTAGATTTATTATATATGTTGGGAGAAAAAAAGAGAGGAAAATGTGGGTTTTATCTAGTGAATACTAGATTTTGATGATCAAAATTGGTAAAAAAAATGTTTATAGTAATTTGAATTAAAAAAAAAGAAAGTAAATAATCATCATTTCCTTATATGTTACTAATTAAATTTTTAATTATCTTAGGTCGCGTTCGGTTGTATGGAATTGGAGAAAAAAAACTTACAAAATTGAATCAAATTTTTTTTTTTTAATTCTATCAATTCTAATTCCAAGACTACAATTTCATACAGCTAAACAAAGCCTTAATGAAACGTAGATAAAATTGAGTTTGAAATTAATGCAATTAACTTGTACAAACTGTTTAAGAATTTTCAATCCACCCTGATTATTGTTTAGGATATAGTTGATGTTGATCTGCGCTCTACTCGCAACACACAGGCTCTCTATGGGCTCCCCAGTTGTGGTGGGGCCTACAAGGTGCATGAGCCAGTCAAAACTGAACTATAATGAAAAATTGAACAACCTTTAAAATTTGTCAAAAAAAGGTTTCAGACAACACTCTAATCCTACGATGTAGCTGGAAAAATTAACACACACACACACATATATATATATATCCCGTTTGAATATGTTTATTCTACATTTCAGATCCAATTGTTCTACATCTTCATACGTATTTAATACATGTTATAAGTTAATACAAAATACAAATACATTTAAGTATGTTAAAATCTTTTCAACATATATCATTATTTTTAGTTTCAATTAATTTAAATCGTATTTCAGTATATTAGTTATTTAACTTATTTTATGTGTTAAAATTATGTTGAAATCTAAAACAAATGTGTAGAAACTGAATTTAATTACATTAAAAAAAAAAGAAAAAAGAAAAAAAAAAGTTTGCAGTAGGGGGCACTGCATGAAAGGATCGGGAATGTTTAGATACAGCACATAAGTTTTTCCACCATGCAGGCCTCGCGGCCAAACACCGGCGATCCCGGGGCTTCTACCAGGGATCCAATTACAATACACAGATACCAAGATTCGAATCAGATTTGAATCCATTCCTAAGCTGCCGTGCACTAGATTTAACAGGACAAAACACTTTCTTTGGAATATCCTACAAAGACGCATCAATCCAACTATCAAACAAACACAAAACCTAGTCTAGTAATAGTGAATATACACTAAATTTTCTATTCTCTTATTCATTATATGTCACATTACTATATCTATGTTTTAGATTGATCCACTGATTCTTTTAACCTAGTCTATAATCTGTAAAAGTGTTGTATTAAAAATAGTGTTGCTCCCTCTCCTGCCTCCAACTGATTACTAACCCTTAATATTTTTGCCCCAAAATATATATACGTACATATGTGTGTGTGTGTATATATATATATAATCTGT